GCCTGATAGTTAAAATATTTGTCTTTATCCACATTCTCCATTTCACTAACCAAATTGTCGCTTGCTCCCTGCATTAATCTTCTTTCTTCTGAGAAAATAGGTCGTACCCAATATTGACGTTTGTGTCTTTGTCTGTTACGCTTTTTAATTATTGTATATAGTAAATACAATTTAATCATTCGTCTTCGAATTACTTGGTGTTGAAATATAGAATATGGTCTATTTCTAGATAAAATCCACAATTTATAAATCCCATGTAGAATATTTTTAGATGTAATCTCCGAGTTTTTATAATTACTATATCGTGGAACTGCAACGTAAAAGATTTTCATTAAAATTATGATAAATAAAATGAACTAAAATTTTTACCAGAAAAATTACATACTTTCTCTTACTACATGGTTTTCATCGTGGACGTCTTCATAGTTCTCGAAACATTTATGCTGATCAATATTACACGAGCTACTCATTATCCAGCCACAAAAATTACATTTTATTTTCTGTGAACATATTTATACTTTATATATTAATATCTCTTACTATAACTATCAACACATTAGCGTTTGATTACTTACTCTGTTCATAATTATTTAATAATAGTATTGTCTTTGGAACGTGTATGAAGAGATTATCGTTCATTCCGCGAGTCAATATCAGGCAATATCAGGTTATAATTGTACACGTTTCCGCTGATGCATTTCTCCTAATGTCCCATTAAGCGGTAAACACGGCAGCGGAATTGGATTTCAACCAATCGTAGGAGAGTTCTACATTTACATGAAAAATATTTTACAGAAAAAACAGATTTTATTGTTAATACTTTGTCATATATTATGTTATTTGTGTAAAATATTATTTTAATTATTATAAATGTTGAAAATAACATTAAAAAAGTCATCTTTTTTATCGTTCCGCGTGATCCGCTTCCGCGTATTCCGCTCAATGGGACATTAGGGAAATAGAAAAAGCGCTGGCAAAGAAAGCGGAATAGCTCTGATTGGCCGCGCTGGTTCCGCTGAGTATTTCCGCATTCCGTTCCGCTGAGTATTTCCGCGCTATGGGACGTCGCCCTCACTTGTACACCGCTCACTTGTACACCGCTCACACGGAAAAAACTGATTTAGTTGATTCAGCAAATCTATAGTTTGCTGAACAAAATTAAACGTTTTAAAGAAGTAAATTTGCTAATGCAGCAAAGAAGTCGTGTGTAAGAGCAATCGTTACTTTGTTCATAAAACAAATCGATTTTTGCTGAAATTATCTTAGTTACTGCAACAAATCATTTTCGATAAGTGCGAGACGTAGCTAGCGCCAGCCTCTGAGTAGTTCGCCGACCGCCGCTAGGCCGCGCATGGTGTCGGCCAAAAACTCGGAATCAAAATTCAGTCTCGTAGGGTATAAAGGGAGGCGTGGAAGCCAAGACAAGTATCGCATATTGCGATCGCCACAATAATAATTGTAGAGTAAATGTTTTAATGAGCATTACTTTACCTAATTTTAATTGTTGGCGTAACTAATAATTTTGCTATAATAGGATTTATTAATGCACCTAATTTTTTTTTATGTAACAGCAAAAAAGTTAGTTACATGTACCAAGCTATTTTTTCCATTGGTTGTAGTAAAGAATCATCTTTGCTCTACTAACAAATCTACCGTGCTGTAACATCAAATTTTATTAGATATAATTACTAATCCTATGCAGCTTTGCGATTTGATTACTGCAACATAGCAAACTGGCTGTCCGTATATTACGGCGGTAAATTTGCTAGACTAGCAGGGTTTTTGATTGTCATAGCAAATCTTTTTTTTCCGTGCACTTGTACACCGCTCACTTGTACACCGCTCACTTGTACACCGCTCACTTGTATTAATAAGTATTATTAATAAGTTTTGAGCATGAATATTAATACGTTTCTTTGTTACAGGGGCCAGGGATGGCGATGGATTTTTATTAATATA